TGATAAGCAATGAACGCATCGGTAACATCATGACCCGCCAAGTTCAGAAACGGCGTATCACCACCAGGATGTTCTTTAGCCCAATCTGTGACATTATAGACCTTGCCCTGAATAGAAATCCACAGATCTCCAGGTTTGTTGTGCTTGAGAAGCTCCTCAGAGGTAATGTACTTCTTCTCAGCCTCCATATCCGAACCAGACGCTCAAAAATCGGCAATGGCGGCAAGTAGGAAAAGGGGATCGAAAAAACAAGAAAAACCCAGAACAGAATCAATCCAAGAAAGCCTTCTTCAAGCCCATACGAAACGTTTGTTCCTTGTTTTTTGTGGGGTTGCCAGAAAAAATGCAACCCACAGTTTGGAGAAGAGGGGGAAACCGGGTTCGAACGATTTCAGAATTCAACAATTTATGAACCCCTTCTTCTGAATTGCATGATGCATTTAGAAGATTATAATATAGAAAGAAGCAGCGGATTGAAATGGAGGCGTAGAGAAGAACGAGAGGTCGTGATTGTTAACAGCGAAGAAGACGGTGCAAAACAACATGCGCATATTCATTACACGCCGTACCGTTTCCCCCGCATCTGAATCGGTCCGTCTTATCCTCACCTGAGGGTCACTAAAATATCCTCATTTTTTTATTCTTTTTAAAATAAAAATATTTTATTATCCTATGTTAATCCCTCACCTCCTAAATTAATTTTAAAAAATATATATTCCTAAACCTTAAATTATTTTTAAAAAGGTTTAAAAAAATATTTTATTAAGGTAAATTTAGTTTAGCGGGAATAACTTTATTAATTATATTAATTAAATTACTTTTTATATGGCAATAATAATTATTATGGTATGACATAATTATTAACTATATAATAATTAAGTTAATATATTTTTTTTATTATCTACCCATCATAGTACTTATCGACATATCCAAAAAATATATATATACAAAAAAATTTGTACTATTTTCATTTATTGCCTGTTATATTGTTCAACTAATAAAGTAAAATAGGCTTTAAATATTAGATTTAAATTAAATGTACCTTATATAAGTAGGTATATTATAGCATTATAATTTTCTTATTTGAAATAATTAACACGTTTAAATTTATTGTATTAAATATGTAATTTAGACTTTTAATTTTTAAGCGTAATTAAAAAAATAAAAGAAAATAAAATGAATGATAATAAGAGAGTCGGTGGGTTCTCCGTAACGTGGACTGTCAGGCGCGGTGACCGGTGAGGAGACGACCACGTCAAGGTAAAGTCATTAAAAGAATGGACGGCTGAGATGCGAGGACAGAGAATATTACGGTGGAAACACGACACGCGATTATTTATTTATTTATTTTTAATTTTTGGGTAGTTGATATTTTGTTTTTGAAATTTAAAAAATTAATATTTTGAGAGATATTTTGGACGGAGGTGCCTGTCATTTCCAGCTGTTATTTTTCTGTCTTTCCCATTGTTTTTAAATTCTTTTTTTTTTTTACTAAATTAATATTCTTCTACAAATATATTTTTAAATTTTTTTAAAAAAAATTATAATATTTTTAATTTATCCTATATTTTAAAAAAAATTAACGTTTAAATTTAATATTTTATTTTATTCTCAATATTTAATTCGTTTATATTTTTCTTATTTATAGGTATTAATTGCTAGCTTGTATCCTATTTAGAGCTTATAAATAACAATGAGAATACACGTCTTCGATCTTAATTCTATTTGTCATTCTTATCGGTATACGATAAGTTTCAATCATATTTTCACTTTAGAATAATTATATTTTAATTATGAAATTTTATTTAACCTATTAATTTTAAAAATTGATTCGAACAACTATTCCATTTATTAGTTTCTATATTATAATGAAGATAAAAAGGAAATAAATTTTCGTTAGTTATTAATTGAAATGGTCGGAGAAGCCAACATTGTGAGAACATTCATGCAACACTAGAAAAAAGTCAACAATCTCACTGATTGTAGAACGACTAAACGAGTTCAAATAGAAGACTTTACAAAAGAATAGTCTTTAAGAAAGATCATGGAAGTGCGAGATTTGAGAGAAATATGTTCGATAAAAGTTAAATGGGAGATGGGTCAAGATTAGTCAAGACGGAAAGCTTCACAAAATGAATATATTTGTGAGAGGAAACCGTAAAAAAACAACAAATAAAAAGATTAGGTGACAAAGAAACGTAAGAAATTTATCAATAAATCGATTTTTGTAGCTTCCATTGACTCGTGTTTCTTTGACTGTCTCTTTTATTTTTTTTCTTCATTCATACGTCTTAATCTTAATTTTCATCAATTGACTACGAGACGAAACCCGACTTTTCTTTGTCCTTTTCGGTCTAACCCTATATATATTAGAAGTGTTCGTTGAATTAGGTTAGATTTTTGTTACTTCCTTTTAGTGTCACGTCACTCTTCTATCTTTATTTTCACATAAAATCTAGCGATAAAGTCGTGTTGACTTTTAATACTATTTTAAAAATAAATAGTCATAAAGTTTAAGAATAATGGAATCTCGTAAAATTAAAAAAAATGAAGGGTCGTTTTAAAATTTAAAAAATATTAAGGAAAAAAAAAACAAAAAAAAATGAAAATGGGCATAATTGAAATATACCTGTTTAAAATTTTAATTTTTTTTGGTTGGATAAAAGGAGGAGGAGGAGGTGGTGGGACTCACGTGGCGTTTGAAATGGGGCCAACAGGGTAATAAACAGAAGTAAAGGGACCTAACAATAAAATCAAATATCCAGCTGGACCTATCATGAAAAATTCAAAATTGTTGCCCTTTATTTTCAATTTCTTTGTTAAATTTAAATTATTTAATTTATTTATTATATTCACGTCCTACCCGTCGAAAAAAAGTATGTTTGAACGTAAATGATTCGGAATTGAGGGATACAAAGTAAATTAGAAATGTTCGAAAAATTTGATGACCCGAACGATCTAATCTAAATTTATTATTAATTTAATCTATAATTTATTTTTAACTAATTTATTAATATTTTATAAAATATATATTAAAATTGAGGATTCAATTTTAATTAAATATTTGAAAATAAATAAGTAGATATTTTATTTTTATTAAAATAAAAAATTAAATTAATGACCCAAACAATTTGAATCAACTATTCCAAACAAGTGGTTGAATTAATTTGAGTTCAATATTTAATTAGCGTTTTATGGGTTAAAATTGTCTAAAACTAACCTAATTCAACGAACACTTCTAATATATATATATATATATATATATATATATGTATATATATATAGCTCAAATGGTAACAAGTTTATAAGAGCGTTCATATGACTAAGCCTGATCAAACTACTCAACCCAAATCATAAAAGTTGGGTTCAATTTGGGTCGGGTTGAATTTTTGGAAAATAAAAAATTTAGGTCAGTTTATTAATTGACATTAATTTGGTCAACCAAACTCGAAAACAGAGGGTTGGGTTATCAACTCCATTTGAGTTGCTCGAGTCACCAACTTAACTAATCTGAAAATTTTGTTTGATCCAAGAGAGTTTTTCAATCCAACCAACTCGTGTACGTGCCTAATACTTATACAACTCTCTTATCTATATTAAAATTATATTTTCTTGAAAAAGTCATTAATTTTTTTTTAATGCATGAGAATAGTCTTGATTTCGATGGGAGAAAGTTTATTATGTGGTCGATATCATTCTCTATCTTCAAGAATTTTATAGTAATTCTTATTTGTGTTTATTATATGGTTTGGGAATCCTAAAAGAATATTATTATCGTTACAATACATGATTTGAACACTCTTTTGGATGTTTGAAAAGACAAGTTCCAAAGTTCGTACTATTCTTTTTTCTTGAAAAAAAAAGAAATAATCAACTTCTAGAACATTTTGTCGCATACTTATATTTTTTTGATTTATTAATATTTATAGTGGTTGGTAGTTTTATTTAGATTATAATATGTCTTTATTTTTATTTGTTAGACGAACACGACTCTCGAAGTATGATATTGTTCACTTTGAGCATAAATTCTCAAAAGGCCTATGAGATAGTATTTCTCACTTGTAAACCCATGATTATTCCCTAAATTAGCCGATGTGGGACTTTCATCATCCAAAGTTATTGTCGTAAAAAAATATATGAGTTCTCAATATTCGTAACAATTGAATGCAATTTCTTGTCGTAACATCAAATATGGAGGATAAGCTAGAGGTAAGATTTTTGGAGGACTACTAGAGACTTGCACAGTGGTCGTCGAGAGGAGTGCGTTCGTTCACACATGCGTTGAATACAAAGATCCTGATTCTTGTGAACCTTTCTCTGTAAGAGACACCGTGAAAAAGAAATATCTTATAAAATGTGATGGAAAGGCTATGATTATGAATGTTAAAGTCATGAATGTATAAAAATGTTTATGCACATCGTATCACACTTAAATTGTGGGTGAGCGGTGAGCGGTGAGCGGAGAGCGGACAACTGTCGATGGTGGCGAGTAATGACGACCATAAAAGGAGGTAGAAAAATGAAAGCACGAGAAAAAAAAAATACTAAATTAAAAAGATGTCACGTTAAATTTTCATGGGTAAAAATAAAGTTTAAAATGTTAATTTTATAGAAATATTAATAAATGTGAAAAAAGAATAAATAAATAAAATTTAAAAATACTTAAATTAATAAATAAATCAGAAAATAACCCGCCACCGTCTGCTCCCGTTGCTCTCCTTCTCAGATCCTCACCTTCTCTCCTTGTTCTTCATGATCATACTCCCTTCCAGTCTTCAACAGCCCCCAGAGCCTCGATTTCTGGCGACTAGGTAATTCTCTCAGAAATATTGATTTATAGTTCATTTTCTTTTCGTTACTTTTTGTCTATGAATTCATATTCTGAATCATGCTCAACCAATTTCAGATCACATTGTTGAATTGGAATGCATCCGTTGCATTCTCCTATTGTTAAAATTCAGCTGATCTGTGTGCCATTGCCAATGGTGTTGATCTGATTATAGGCACTGAAAGTGTGGCATCTCGTCGTAGTCATTTAGATAGGCTTTTTAATTGGTTTCTTCTTAACCTCGAATCTGGCATTGGGAGTTCTGATTTTGCAATTTGTTTCTTGAACGAATGATTCGTGGGTAGTTCTCATCTTCCTCGTTCTGTGATTTTTCATGCACGAAAATGTCGTCCATCTTGCACCAAAGATCCACTTACAGCTCACTTGAAAATCCGTACCCTCTTTCTCCTCGTTCTTCCTCGAGTTCTGAGAGGTCGTTTTCCATATTCAGCCCTATGAACCTGCTTGCTCTGCTTTCTCTTGTTGTGATTCTTGGAGTCTTCTTCCCATGGATGAATATACAAGAGACTATTTTCTCAAGCTCAAAGATCTCAAACACGAAATGGCGAGATTACTCGTTGGCTGAAGCTGCATCGTTCGTTGCACGGAATGGGACAGTGATTGTTTGCGCTGTGAGCCAACCCTACTTACCCTTTCTCAATAATTGGTTGATTAGCGTTACTCGGCAGAAGCACCATGAGAAAGTTCTTGTTATTGCTGAGGACTATGCAACACTCTACAAGGTGAATGAACGGTGGCCAGGGCATGCCGTGCTCGTCCCACCAGTTCCAGATGCTCAAACAGCTCATAAATTTGGTTCTCAGGTGTGGTTAGTTGACTGTTAAATTTCATTGTTATCGGTTTAGATTTATTCTTTCTGTTTGAAATGATAAATTTGATTGCTTATAGAAACATATTGTTGTTTGTTGCTTCTCTGTTAATTAACTCATCTCATTTAACATTGCCCGTGCAAAGGCGTTTTGTTAATGCAGCACTAGTTATAAACATTTCATACTTGGATGTGTTTTCGAAACTTAATCTTCTTGCATAATTTTCATATCCGGCCTTAGAAATACAATTATCGTTAGAGCTACTCGAGGACATTCATATTATGCCTTCAATTACAATTGACATTAATTGACGTCGCTCTCGTACTGATATTTACTACTTGAAGTACAGAAGCCTCGATCGTATTTCTCCTTCCCACATCTACTAATTTGACTCTCAAGTCATCAGCATGATCTCTCTCTTTGCTCTCTTTTGTATGAAGCATTTTATAGAACTCAAGAAAATTTTTATTGACGTGTTCTTAGGCCATTGAACATGTTCACTCAGTTTGCTTGCCATAACCCTTCTTTTCCTTTCTCCTTCTAATTTAACTTTTCCCTTCTCATGCTCAGGCCTCAGGCATATATGATTATCCTTAGCCAAATTCACTGCCTACATGAAATGAAAACGCTTGCCTTCACATTTCAGGGATTCTTCAACTTCACATCTCGAAGACCACAACACCTACTGCACATTTTGGAGCTTGGTTATAATGTTATGTACAATGATGTTGATATGGTATGGCTGGCTGATCCATTTCCTTATCTGCAAGGGAATCATGATGTGTACTTCACAGATGACATGGCTGCAGTATGTACAATAACTTCCAACCCTCACCCCCCCTCTCCGGGTGTAATGTTTGTGGAAATGGATTGCTTACAGTTTCCTTGCATATAAACTCTAATTTATTATCTTTTATTCTTTGAGTAAGAAGCAAATGTTCATATAAGTTTGGGAAATTTAAATGAAAAATGTTGGAGAATTTTAGCTTCTTAGTTAAAAATTTGCATGTTTGCTCATTCTATCAATTTGACTGGAACATGTGGTACTTATAGATTTCTTGCTTAATATTATGGGAACTTGAAAAGCATGGTGACACTAAACTCACATCTTAACATTTGATGAGAAGTGCTTGCATCCTTGTGCATTAACATACACTAAACTCACTCCTTTCTGAAATTGTTCTCACCTCGTAACAGGTAAAGCCTCTGCACCACTCTCATGATTTGCCACCTCCAGGGAAAAAGGGCCGCACTTACATATGCAGCTGCATGATTTTCCTACGCCCCACCGATAAAGCAAAACTTGTCATGAGGAGGTGGATTGAGGAACTTAAAGCTCAGCCATGGTCCAAAGCAAAGAAAGCAAATGATCAACCTGCTTTCAACTGGGCTCTAAATAAAACTGCTGGAGAGGTTTGTTTTTCTAGCCTTCTAGTTCTCACTATCACATCTTAATCGAGTTGCTAGGATCCCATATGATAATAATTAAGTTTAAAAAAAAGGAAAAAAAGAACATTGAAAGGAGCAAAAAATTTATGCCATGCAGGTACAAGAAAGGAAAATGTATTACGAAATTTATCAAAAGATTGTATTTTTTTTCTGGGTAACATAACTTTTCATTAACATAGCGAAAGGTTACAAAGTATGATACTTACAATAGAGTATGAAGGAAAGATTTTGCTCCATCATCGAAGATACTATTGCCTTTTTAAGCCAAAGATGCCAAAAGAATGTTTTACTGAATTGGAGTCGAAAGACTTTCTAAAAGGTGGCCCAAAAACATAGCATAGAAAGAGCTTGTTGATATCTAGTGGGGATGCCTCCTGTCAATTGTAAGCTAAGAAAATGAAACTCAGAAATTACCAGCAAAAGAACAGTTCAAAGGATATGGCCTTGGAGATTTGCATCTTTCTTGCAAAGAAAAAAAAAAAAAAACAGAGAAAGGGAGTAGCATGTAGGAAGCCATTTTTTATTGCATCGTTATAGGTTATGCTTTCATAACTGATCTCCCACAAGAAGAAAAGCCGACTTTCTTAGGGTATTAGCCATACCACATTAATTCATATCGGGGGATTCTCCACGATAATATTTTTTACAATGTCCATAAAGAGTGAAATGCACTGTGAAAAAACGAAACGATTCCAGTGGCCTACCATCTTGTTGGGGCTATACGAAGGATGAGAGTTGGAGAGTAAGTTAGAAAGCTGAGTCTCATTCCTGAATTTAAGCTTCCAAACAGAGTCTTCTAAAGCCAAGTCCCATATGTTGCCTTGTAGTTTTTAAAAATTAAGCCTTTTAATTTACAATTCCTGTTGGTCTTAATCTTTCACCTTTTAACAATACTTTTTTGGTCTTAATCTTTCACCTTGTAACAATACTTGTCTACATAATATAAGTTTTTGAACTCTTTCATGTCACTCTTCAAAATTTGTTTTTTTTACCTGCCACTAAGATCTTCACATTCTTCACATTCTTCACATTCTTCACATTGGCCTTGGAAATCTATCTCAAAAACTTTCAAAGACGACTAAAGTTGCAGTCAGAACTGATAGAGTCATAGAGATACAAATTTTTGTCATTAGACATAACTTCTCTTTAATACTCTTTGTTGGTGTAAATGTCAACACCACCCTTTTAACAATTATAGTCTTTCTTCTTTAGTTTCTAATGGATGATCTTTCATGTAATACACCTTTTTCTGGTTGGGGTCTATTAACTCCCTCAATTTTATTTCTCAATGAAATTTGTTTCTCCTCTCCAAAAAAAAAAAAAAAAAAAAAAAAAAAAAAAAAAAAAAAAAA